CAGAAAATCCTTTTCTTAGATTCAGCAGCTTTCACTAATCAGCTGCATTCCGGTGTCACTGCTTGGCTGACTGCTGATATATTTTTTTTCCCCTCTGTCTCCAGTTCCTGTTAGGGAGCCAGGGGCCCAGGAGACTTGAGACAGGGTTAGTCTTCCACAGAGAGGGGAGTCTGATCCAGCATTCAGAGCACAAGGGCTTGTAAATCAAACTGTTAGCTTAATAGCCTGGGCCATTATTCTAAACCAGCGGGGCTGAAACCAAAAGCCAAATGAAAACATAGTCCATTTGTTCATACTTTAGTGACTGGATGACTATGTAATGTCGGGCATGTCAGTGCTGCAGAGAGGCAAGGGCGAGGGGAAGGGCGGAGTGTGTTGGTGGAAGTGGAGATTCCAAAGTGCTTGGGTGCTTGGGTGCTTGGGCAGAGTCCCTTCTGAAAAGACTGCTGGGTCTCCAATTCTGACATGGACTTGGCTAAACAGATAGTGTCCCCTGAAGCCAGCAGCCTTCACCGCCCAGGCACAGCGCTGGCTGGTGGATGGCAGTGGACTGAGGAACCAGGCGTGGCCAGCAGCGTGAAGTGTTCTGTGAGGCATCAGAAGACCTGGGCTCCAAGTGAAGACACCCTGGAAGAACACAGACTCTCCATCCTCTAAAAACATTGTTTTTTTTTTTTTTTTTTAGACAAGGTCTCTCTATGTAGCCCAGGCTGGCCTCAAACTTGAAATGTTCCTGCTTTAGTCTTTTCAAGACTGGGATTACCATCATGTACCACCATGCCTGGCTAAAACATTTTTTAAATAGCTTGGCTGGTTTTATAAAAGTTACATGTAGCCATTGCAAAAATTCAAGCCTTGTAGAAAAGAACATCAAAGAAAGTGAGACTGATTCACCCCCACCTGCAGCAGCACAGTTAGGATACGGGGACTCTCCTTCCAGATGTCAATTGTGTCATGCAGATCCACGGGGATGGGTGGTGCTCTGCCCAGAGGGGGGGTTGGTCAACCCAGAGTCTATCTTTATCCCAACAATATTTAGTAAAGTGTCAATCAGTGAAGGTCGAAGTCATGGCCTTTCATGGCTGCATAGTCTCTATGTGACTCTCCCAGCGTGGACGCCATCTTTTCTTTCACCATTGTTAATGGTGTCAGTGGTCAGGCACACTTACCCCTGTGTCTTGGGCAGAATGATAAACCATCTACTTTTCATAGCTTTTAATTAGGTGACCAGAGACTGTGGTTCACAAGGGGTCACAGTTGAGAGCAAAAGGGACATTGTCAATAATCACGCCTCTCAATGGGCCCAAAGGAGGGCCATGGGGCAAGTGGGAGGTCTGGTCCCACCTGGGAAGAGCATGTTAACAGGGCAGGCCAGCCCACGCTGGGGTGATGCTTAATAGTAATCCTATGGGAATCACTCTGGGAGTTGTCCCTGTACCCCAAACTTGAGCTGTCAGCTAAGATTTCACAGCCATTTCAGGCTTCTCCAAACTTCCCCATCTATCCATCCACCTATGCAGTGGCCTTTCCATCTGTAGTGCTCACTCCCCCCATCCACTGTCCATCTTGCTCCCTGCCAGTGGCCAGTAATAGCCTTAGTGTGGCTTGTTTGCCACCATATCATCAGGGCTGAGGACAGGTCTGCCCCAAGGTGCTCAAGGGAGAGACTTGTGAGTGAACGAATGAGTGATCACCACCTCATGCTGATCTCACAGCGACTGCCATTTATTGTCAGCTTACTATGGCCCAGGCCTTCTGTGAGAACACACATGTTCTCGTGGAATCCTCCCAGCAGCCTACCAGGGGAGCAGCATTAGCCCATTACAAAAGAGGAAGTGGGTTAGACAGGTAGAGCCACAAGTCAGGCAAGGAGCACCGGATCCCATTTGACTCTGGTCTGGTTAACCAGGGAGGCACAATCCGATATGCAGACACACCACAGCCCACTGGCCACCACTGGGTCCTGTGGCCCCCCACATGCATTGCCAATGTCATGAAAGTCCCCACATCACAGTATGGGCACAGAGGTGTCAGTCCAGACCAGTGATTCTTCCCTTAAGGGTGAGAGGTGATAAGTTCATGTCCCACCCATCACATGGAAACCTGAGGAGAGGTCCGAGCTGTTCCCCGATGGTTTAGTCTGGGCTTGGGGTCTGGTCCCTCCAAGCCTTCACTCGCTCTCCCAATGGCTAGAAGGGCCCTCACCTGCTATCAGCAGACCCTCCCTCCTGGGATTGGCTATCCCATGGCCATCGCTGGTCACAGGGACCAGAAAGAAGCCAGGCCATGATGTGCCCCCTCTTTCCTCCGTCTCTCTCCTCTCACAGATCCTTAGGTGGTGTGTATTGCAGGGCCAGGGGATCCCGACAGCCCCGCTTGCAGGACAGCCCCGCTTGCAGGGCAGCCCCTGGTGGCCGGCTGCGAGGGAACGGATTGCAGCCTGTCTGACATGGTGACCCAGCCCACGGGCGGCTGCTGCCCTGCCTGCTGCTTTTCCGTGTGAAAGGTGTTTAATTATTTCTGACAGAGTTCAGCGTCGACATCTGTTCGTGAGCGGGGAGAGTCCATTTAGGTTATCCATCATTGTGACAGGTTCAACTTTTTTGGAAGCGCTTTGTCACTTCATAATGGGGCCAGGGTGGGGGCGGCAGATCAGCAGCAATGCAAGACCCAGACAAAGACCCTCCTGGGGCACCATGACAGGACAGCGTCCCCGACCTGGTCACTGCCTGGGCTTCCTGAGTCTAGCTCTCATTGGTGGGGAGGGTGGAAGGGGGAGGTTTTGTCAGGTCTGTGAAAGGCTTTAAAATCCTTTGGTCGTTCTGGTGTATACTGGTCATTCATTCATTTGTCCACTCATTCATTTATTCCATTCATTTGCAACCATATCCTCTGTGCCCAGTTAATGAACACATTGTACAGTTGCTAAGCACCATGTTTGGGGGTGAAGAGGGAGCCTGCTGGGGTGCTGTGGGGAAGGGAAGGAGCCACAGGAGGCCTTGGGGCTAGGCAGTCCTGGATTCGACTCATGGTTCTGACCGCAGACCCACTTCTTGCAGGGCATGTTCTCTCCCAGCCTTGATGTCCACATCAGCAGAATGGGGACATGCTGTCTACAAACAGTGCATGCCCTAAAAATTGTTACTTCAAGTGACCTCACAGCAGCGCTTGGTGGGACCATGGGTCTCTCTGGGCTGAGCAGGGTGGTGCCCAGGACCAGTCCTGCTCTGAGAACCCTGAGCACATGTCGTTTCCCGGGGCAGATAGGATGGACCACTGTGGCTCTAACTTGCAGAATCCCATATCCTCGAAAAGGTGGGGACACCCAGGAAAGGGGGGGCTTGCGCCTGTCCCCTGTGGTATGTCTGTGGTACAGTAGGTAGCGCCCTGGATTCTAGGCATAAAACCTGGCCAGCCACTCCTGGGAGGGAGGCGCTGGTGTCCCACCTCACCTGCACAGTGGTCAGGATGCCTTCTCCAAGGATGAGACAATGTCACCCACATTGTCAGCTGCTCACAGTGCCTGGCACCAAGGAAAGCAGAGCCCCTTGCCGGCTGAGATGAGTCCCCGCTTTTGCAGGTAGAAGCATTGTTTATTTCTCCACTTGAGCTCTGGCCAGGGCCAGGCAGTGAGAGAGGAACTCCTGACACAGGACTCCCCACAGAACCTGGGGGAGAAGTTTCCTGTTCTGCTTGGGGGAGACCATCTGCACCCCTTTGTCCATCTATGTCTAAATTAAAGATGTGGGGGCTGAGCAGGTCAGGAGTTGATGACATAAAGCAGAACCCCCGGAATACATCTTGTGCTTATGGGGCCAGGACTCCTGGTGCCCCTTGGGCAATGTCACCCAAAGGCCTGGATTCCCATGGACAGCAGGAAGCATCAGAGAGAAAAGGGCAAAGAAAGGCAACCAACAAGGGTGGCGGGAGGCTGTGGACAGCTGAGTGTGAGAGAGAAGCAGAGCGGAGGGCTGTTTTTAAAAAGCCAGGGCATTGCGCTGTGAGGGCTGAGGTGAGAGGCGCTGTGAAGTGGCAGCGTGGCTGTGCCTCCACCACCTACCGAATGGCGCTGGGTCATGTTCTTTCCTTGACATTTGCTCTGATCATGGTGGCAGCCTGGGCTGATGGGCGGCAGGGCACATGGCCACTGACATATGCTGATGGAGGCCACTTGAGCAGGACATGAGAGACCACATCAAGGGGGGCAGAGCAGTTTCCCAGTGAAGCTCAGCGGCTTGTTCAAGTGCATTAGGCTCAGGAAGGCAGCAGCCCCTTCATTGTCTAAATTGCAGTTTAACGCAGCACAGCAGCCAGCCAGGCTGGCTGGGAATGCTGCCTTGTGCAGCTGTCTTCCCTGACCAAGCAAGTCCCACGTGGCTTGCTGGAGAGGCTCCTTCTGCCCAAGTTGGGCACATGCAGCCCCTCCCCATCCTGGAGCCACTGTCTGTGCAGTGTCCCCCTGGCTCTCACATTGTCCTTTCCCTGCTAAAAACTGCTAAATCTCCCCTGGGTGCTACAGGGCTACGTGGCTCAGAGGCCAGTTCCCTGAGCCCTTATCCTGGTCAGTCTAGTTGGATGTCATGCACTTATGCCAGTCCCCTGTGGACATTTGGTCCCCTCTCCTGGGCCACCTCCAAGCGGTGCCACAAGGCTGTCTGCATCCCTGAGTCCTGAGCTCAGAACATAGACCATCAGTGATCCCATCACCGGAGGGAGCTTTGGCTAAGGCAGCCTCTACCCAGGGTGGACAGCCATCCCGGCCAGTGCTGAGGTAACCCAGGATCAGCCCTGTCATGCCATTTCCTAGCACTCTTTTTCATGGTTCCCCCATCGGTGCACGTAAAGCCTGAGCTAAGTGGGCTCAGCGCCTGGCAGATCGAAGCACTTAGAAGGTGTTACTTGTCCTGTTCATCCATGGCCAGAAACCCACGGAACTCTTAGACAGCAGGCAGAGACCAGGCAAAGTGAGCAGCAGCAAACTGCACAAAGGGGACACTGACCTTCTGGTAGTGAGGCATGCTCCAGAGGCTGTCGAGCTTCACTGGCGGCTTGTACTTCCTCAGCTGACAGCTCCGGGTCTCGTACAGCTTGCCCAGGGCCACCTGAATGCCAGGGAGATGCAGAGGTGAAATTTTTACTTAGCTACCTGGAGGAGCCCAGCCATGGCAAGGAGCTTGAGGGCGTTGGGATTCTCCGTGTGGCCGACTCGAGGGTCACTTTCTTCCTGGCCCTAGCTCTTCTCCAAGGCTGTTTCATAGTGCTGCCCATTTGTTCCCGACCTCCCAGCACTGCCCCGGCTACTGTTCAGCAGGCTGGGAGTAAGATCACACGGTGGCCTTTGGTTTCGCCCAGAGCACTGGGGGCTCCATGTGTGGCAGCTCTGAGGGCAGGGATGGGGCCCCGTTATTCTTGAGCCTCCGCACTGAGACTAACGCTGCCCCAGGACCACAGGGACTCCATGATGTTTGTCTGAGGGAAAACTGTGTGACTTAGCCATTGTTTCTGGTTTGGGGGAGCAGGTCTCCACCATGGCCCACTCAGGGAAGAGGAAGGCGGGCTCCTTTTGGGAGAGGGATTCAGGGGCTTGTTCCAGGCTGGTGAGGTCACTGTGAGTGGGACTTCAGGGATACAGAGGAATCCCGCTCCTGCTCAGCCACGTGCTCTGTGCCTACTACCAGGTACCTGTTGGGTCTATCAAGGGTTGAACTGTGAAACCCTAACCTTAATGTGACTGTATATGGAAACAAGCTTATAAAAGGTCACAAGGTTAAATGACACCATAGGGGTGGGGCTCTGATCCAACACAACAAGAGGCATTGTAAGAAGAGGAGAGGAGACCAGAACCCACGACACAGTGGAAGGCGGCCACCTGCCCACCGAAGACAGAGGCCTCAGCACACACCATGTTAGTCCTCTGCCCTCCAGAGCTGTGAGAAATTTCTGTGGCTTAAGCTTTCCAGTCTGTGACATTTGTTATGGCATCCCTAGAAGAACAATACAGAGTTCAAGGCCTTTGGCCTCAGAATCCACTGAGGAGAGGCCCAGCCCCTGTGTTTTCACTGACCACCTTGCGAGCCTTCTCAAAGGGCAGAAGTCCCTGGAGATGGGGCGAGGGGTAACAACCTTTGTGTGCACCCAGACACTGGTGCAGAGATTGGGCCACACCTGGAACTGATGCTTGAGGGGTGCAGGTGCCCAAGGGACCAGGCAGGACAGGCCCCTGCAGAAGGAGCAGGAGAGGGTAGGGACCTGGTTGTGGATTTTCCAGTCCTAAAGACTGGTTTCCTGCCCCATGAGGGCATACGTCAGCAGGAAAAAGTTCCTGCGTTCATGCCTCAGGCTCCGTGAGCACCAGCACTGTACCTGGATTCATTCACTCATTCCACAATTATTTATTGAGCTCTAAACATGTACCAGACATGGTTTGCAGAGCCAGGGATTCATTGCTGAATAAAGCAAAGACCCCAGTGAGAGACACTCCAGCGAGAGAAATAAGAAATCAAGTCATTAATTTCAATCACCAGATGATCGGTGCTTTAAAATAAGAACAAAAACAAAACGGAAGCTGGGTAAGAGGTCAGAGGAGATGGTAGGGGACACTGAATTCCTCCCTGATGAAGTGGGGACAGTTGAGGAGAGACCTGGGGTGATAGAGGATATCTGAGAGAAGTATTCCTAGAGGGCAGCAGCAAGTTCAAAGGCCTTGGGGTTTGAATGCACGAGGTATGGTGGAGACCCAGCAGGTAGCCAGAGTGACCTGCTGAGGGAGGTGGTCAGACTGGGGTCTTGTCAACACAGTAGGGACTCTGGGCTAGGTTCTAGACTCGCCCGGAAGCCCCTGGAAGGCAGAATGTTGACGTGAGCCAACTCAGGTTTGGAAAGGGTCCCCAAGCAGCTGCTGGGGCACAGACCCGGGGCAAGGGTAGATGCTGGGCAAGACTGCAACTGCCCTGGTGAAAGAGGAGGGGTCTTTGCTACAGTGACCTAAGGCACAGACAGGCTTCACCTGGGACATGAGGTGGGGGTTCAGTCTTGCAACCTTCTTCCTGAGCCCAGTAACTTGTGTATCAGCCCTGACACAGCAGTTCCCATCACCTGTGGGTCCACGGCTGCACAACAAGGCACCTCAGCACTAAAAAGAAGTTTGGAGTAGGAAGAGATCACTGAGGTGGCTTTAGCAAGTGTTTTCTGAGTGCCTGCTGTGTGATAGGGGGTGGGGCTCAGGACACAGTACCCCCCAAAACATGCCACCTCGGCATCTAGAAAATGGCAGAAGCAGGAAGTTCTCTCTAAATGGGGCCAGTGTCCTAGGAAGGCTACTCTGCCCTTCTCTTGCTGCAGGACACAGACCCTCAGTGAAGAGGTGCCTCCCTATGCTTGGAGGAAAGGAAGTTCCTCACCTCTAAAGACAGGGACACAAAAAAGAATCTGAACACACAGGTCTTGTTGGGTTGCCATTTGATCTTTACCTACCCCTCTTTCTCCATAACTGCCCACCACTTTCTCAAACCTAGAGTAAAGATACACAGTGCACCCAAGCGTGGTGGTGCATACCTATAATACCAGCTACTCAGGAGGCAGAGACAGGAGGATCTTGAGTTCAAGGGTAGCCTGGGCAAAGTCACAGAGACCCTATCTCAAAAACAAAAGACTTGGGGAATGGTTCAAGTGGTTGGATGCTTGCCTAGCATGTAAACAGTCCCCAGTACCTCAAAAAAATACACTGGCGTAACTGTTTTTTGGGGGGGGTCTTTTCTTATGAATGCTCCTTTAACAGGTAAAATTTAAATTTGAATGCTTTTCTCTTGTTAATCTGTGTTTTATTATGGGCTCCCAGCCACAAACCCAGGATGGGTGGGAGGAACAGCCTCACACAGGGGCCCTCATTTACTCTGACTCCTGTGACTGCCCACTGCAGAAACAGAGCCCACAAGGACTGAGTCACATCGAGTGGAGCCGCTCACTAGCTGCCTCCATGGCAGCAGGAGGACACTGGCCACGAGATGGTCTCTGGGGTGGCGAGATGGCCCTGCAGAGGCCCTGGTGCTGCGGGTTCACACACCCTGAGCCCCAGTGAAATAGCTGCAGATTAAAACACGCAGCTGGTGACGATAATGTTCCCTCTGCAACCAGCCATTGCATAGCAAGCTGACACTTTCCCGAGCCATTAACAAATAAGCCAGTCATGGGCTGCTTTTAAAGCATCGTTTCAAAGCTGTGCTCTGGTCGGTGGTGCCAGGCTACCGAGAAGAGCCCCAGAGGCCTTGGCGCCCGTCCCCAGGATGCCGGGGTCTCTGGGAAGCCTCCTCTGACCCCAAGTTTGGCCCTAGAACATAGATGCTGTCACTGACCCCCCACTGGGGACCTCAACTTCATGGAGAGCCTACACGCTGGGGCCAGACACACTTCATCTCTCTGAGCCTCAGTTTCCCCATGAAGATGAAGCAAACTGAGATCATAAGTGAGATACAGACCTTACGGGGTTCTTGGAGGACTAAGGGCAGGAACTTGTTGGGGGGAGGGGGTGGTGTGTCCTCCGCCAGCTCTTAGCACAGAGATGAGCAAGGCTCGAGGTGACAGTGGTGATTGTGGTAACAACCAGAGCTCTGTGTTTAACATCTATGCATCACAGCAAGTCTGATTTTGTGAGCCTCGGTGTGGAGCTCCTGGAGGGGAGACCGATCTGAGCTCCCCCAAAGTCCCAATTTTGGAATATTTTAAAGGAAGTACCATTGGCGTACTTTCAAATGAACAGCTAGTGATGTTTTCCCTGGGTTAAAAAAAAAAATTCACCAACTGACTTCCTGCCAGTTGCTAAAGACTCACATCATCAGTGGCTGGCAGGGTTTGGATGTCGGGATCTCAGCTCTCACTTCTCTATGAGGGCACCGCCTCTCTACCCTGGTGGCCACACCTGGGGAAGGAGATAAGGACACTGCCTGGGGCTCATGGTAACAGGGGTAACAGGTGCATGGGGCATGGTCCTATTCGTTACTTTGATTCAAAATGCGTTCCTAACGTTTAATAAAGTGTGTTCTTTAAAGCGTCCTTCTGGAAGTGGTGTTTTCTTTCTATGTTGTCTTACTAGCTTTTTCTTTCTTTCTTTGTTTTGGCAGGATAGGATTTGAACTTTGCTGGGCAGGTACTCTAACACTTGAGCCATGCTCCCCCAGCCCTTTTTGTTTTAATTATTTCCCAAATAGGGTCTTGAGTTTCAGCCAGGGTTGACCTGGACCTTGCTCCTCCTATTTACACCTCCTGTGGTGTAGCTGGGATCATGGCATACTACCGTAACTAGCTTGTTGGTTAAGATGGGGTCTCACTTTTTGCCTGCGTTGAACTTGAAGCTCAATCCTCCCTCATCTCTATCTCCCCAGTAGCTGGGATTATAGGCATGCGCTGACATGCCTGGCTGGATCAGCCTTTCCTTCATAGATAGGACAGGGCACACACCTGTCTCCACGGTTGGGTTTAAAGCATGATGTTCTTGAGGGCAAAGTCCCGTGGAGGCTCGGTGGAAAGAGTCGGGACAGAGGGTTCTAATCCATCAGCCATCGGCTGATGACCTGAGCTGTCTCTTACACATCCTGGGATCAAGTTCAAATCGAACAGGGAAATCACCGAGACCGGCCCAGATCTGAATTTGTGAGGCAAGATTCGACTTGACTCCCTGCCCTTGCTTGACCACCAAAGCACAGGTGCCATCTCCAGGCCTGACCTGCCCTTCCCTCCCCAGCCGCTGGCCACTCGGCAAGTGCCGTTACCTTCTGCTTCTTCTCCAGTTTGAGGGCTTTCTGGGTGGCCTTTTGCTCCTGCACCCACAGCTGCTGGTACCGGTGCTGTAGCAGGTCAAAGAAGGGTGTCGATGGCCTGAGGAAGAGAAGACCAGATAGGGCTTGGGGCCTGGGGAAGGCCAGGGGACACTTCCGTCCCTAGGACACCGGCCTCACTGCCAGGGACTACAGACCCCTCTCCTTAAGCTGTGTGAGGCTCTGTCCAGCACCCAGAACCCCTGACAGAGGCAGGTCCCTTACATTAAAGTCTCAGCAAACATGGTGTGCCTATAAGTGGGGCGCTTGAGGTGGTGCAAAAACACCCTCTGTTAGCTGACTTTAGACATCTTTGGAGCCTCTTCCATAGACCTCACCCCTGGACCCTCTCCTCGGCCTGCTGAGGACAGGCTTGGCAAAGAATCCTGCTAAGTTGACTCCTCTGGTCCCTCAGTGTCAGATTTCCCTGGGGAAAACAGGGACACAGCCAGAACCCTGGTAAGTCAAGTGAGGGAGCCTCCTGCCCTGGGCATCTCTTAGTCACTTTCCATCGTGACTCCCTCCCTTGCTCACTGGCTGTCCATTCCACTTGCCTTGTGTTGGGAATTGAGTTCAGTCTACACTGTACTCTCTCCCCTTTCCCAATAGCTCTGAGTAAATTTGTGCACCACTTTCAGCTGGTATCTGGCTCTGATTTTCTTTTATGGTGACTTCCAGCCACAGAGCACTTAGCAGTTCTAAGCATTTTCTATGCTCTCCCCCGCACAGCACTGCGAGCCTGGTACTATTATCACTCCATCTTAGAGATGTGGGGGGATCTCACAGTGGGGAGCAGTGCTGTGAGCCTGACCTGCTCAGCCAAAAGGCTCAGAGCTAATTTCAATTGTACATCCTTACAGGGGAAACCAACTGCTCCCAAGCAGAGCATCTGGAATCAGACTGGAAAACAGAATATGCAAACTGGATTGACAGCCCTTTTTGTTTTAGTTATTTTTCAGGTAGGATCCTGGGATTTTGCCCTGGATGGGGGAGGGCTTTGGACAGTGATCTTCCCATCTCTGCCTCTTGAGTAGCTGGGATTACATGTGTGAGCTACTATGCCCAGTTGTATTGCATTATTTGGCCTGTACAGAGGTCTTAGCAGACGGAAATCATTATCAACACTTAAAAGTTGGGATATTTTATATTTAAAAAACAGCAAACAGCTTTCTAGATTGCCTTGAAAATATGTAAGTTCTGAGCATGTGGGCCTATGTTTCTAGTTAGCAATAGCTTTCTTCCCTGTCTTGGCACCACCTGGCCCCACTCCCTGCTGGGCCCCTCCCTGTGCTTGAGTGCATGGTTCCAGAGACAGAAGTAGAGCTGGGTTGGTCCCTGACTATCCCTCCACTTTTCTACCCCGCTGTGCCACCCCTGTGTGCAGGTCACAGGGCTGAGCTGGGCTTCTGTGTGAGCAGAGGTTCAGTGGCTTTGAAACACCGAGGTCTCACAGAACAGCCCACAGAGCATCTACCAACAGTGACTCTTTGTTTTCTGGCTCCTTTACCCCTGTGGTGACTTTTATTACTTAATTATTACACACCTCATGCTTCCGAGCAGCCTAATTTATAGCTGTGCTTCTTAATAACACTATGTGCGTAATCTCGAAATATCTACCCCCAGAGGCTGTTCCCAAGTGAAGAGCGATCTTCCCAGCAGCCTCTGCTGCATCCATCACTGGGAACCTACCCTCCTGTAGCCTCGCTGGCTGACCGTCTTTGTGTCGTGCTCCAGCCAGGGGTTCTTATTACAGGGAGAGATGCAGGTGGGGCTGGAGCCGAGAATAACTGATAATCTTGCAGTTCCCATGAACGGCCCAGCCCAGGTCATCTAAGGCCATCAGCAGGTCTTACCTGCTTCTCCCCTGGCTCATTAACTTGAAGAAACAGGCTTAGGGGTAAGCCTGACGTGGAGAAAACCCTGGGACATAAATCAGATCCTGTCACCCCTCCTGATCTTAACACAAGTGCATCACCATGGTCCACGATGCCCGTCCAGCCATAGTTCTGCTCCCTTCTCCAATCCCTCCTGACATTCACTCCATCTCTCATGGCCCTTCCTGGCCTTCCAGGACCCTTCCCTCTGCCTGGAATCCTTTTCTTCACTCCCACTCGGTTTCTCCTTTGTCTTATTGAGGGGTCTAAGCCCACCCTAAATATGCCTCGCCAGGTGAGGTGCCCTCCCAAGCAGACATGTTCCCGATCATTCTTTTACTGGTTCATGATTGCATTGGCTGTGAAATGCCAAGGTACGAGGGCAGAAATTCTCATGCCTGCTAGGAACTGACACAGTGCTGCTCTCAGTAGTTACTTGTTGAAAAAGAGAGAAAAGAGAGAGAGAGAGAGAGAGAGAGAGAGGAGAGAAGAAGGAGAGAGGTGGAGAGAGAGAAGGAAGAAAGGAAAATTTTGCAACTTACAACTTTTTCTTGGTGGTATGGGGGTTTGACTCCTGATCTCTTACTTGATAGGTAGGCACTCTATCATTGAGCCGACTCTACCGCCCTTTTTTGTGATGGTTTTTTCAAGATAGGGTCTCAAGAACTATTTGCCTGAGTCACCCCTGTGTGCAGGTCACAGGGCTGAGCTGGGCTTCTGTGTGAGCAGAGGTTCAGTGGCTTTGAAACACCGAGGTTTCTACTGACTCTTTGTTTTCTGGCTCCTTTACCCCTGTGTGACTTTTATTACTCTACACACCTCATGCTTCCGAGCAGCCTAATTTATAGCTGTGCTTCTTAATAACACTATGTGCGTAATCTCGAAATATCTACCCCCAGAGGCTGTTCCCAAGTGAAGAGCGATCTTCCCAGCAGCCTCTGCTGCATCCATCACTGGGAACCTACCCTCCTGTAGCCTCGCTGGCTGACCGTCTTTGTGTCGTGCTCCAGCCAGGGGTTCTTATTACAGGGAGAGATGCAGGGGGCTGGAGCCGATACTGATAATCTTGCAGTTCCCATGAACGGCCCAGCCCAGGTCATCTAAGGCCATCAGCAGGTCTTACCTGCTTCTCCCCTGGCTCATTAACTTGAAGAAACAGGCTTAGGGGTAAGCCTGACGTGGAGAAAACCCTGGGACATAAATCGGATCCTGTCACCCCTCCTGATCTTAACACAAGTGCATCACCATGGTCCACGATGCCCGTCCAGCCATAGTTCTGCTCCCTTCTCCAATCCCTCCTGACATTCACTCCATCTCTCATGGCCCTTCCTGGCCTTCCAGGACCCTTCCCTCTGCCTGGAATCCTTTTCTTCACTCCCACTCGGTTTCTCCTTTGTCTTATTGAGGGGTCTAAGCCCACCCTAAATATGCCTCGCCAGGTGAGGTGCCCTCCCAAGCAGACATGTTCCCGATCATTCTTTTACTGGTTCATGATTGCATTGGCTGTGAAATGCCAAGGTACGAGGGCAGAAATTCTCATGCCTGCTAGGAACTGACACAGTGCTGCTCTCAGTAGTTACTTGTTGAAAAAGAGAGAAAGAGAGAGAGAGAGAGAGAGAGAGAGAGAGGTGGAAGGGAGAGAGAAGGAAGAAAGGAAAATTTTGCAACTTACAACTTTTTTCTTGGTGGTATGGGGGTTTGAACTCCTGATCTCTTACTTGATAGGTAGGCACTCTATCACTTGAGCCACTCTACCCGCCCTTTTTTTGTGATGGGTTTTTTTCAAGATAGGGTCTCAAGAACTATTTGCCTGAGTTAGCTTCAAACCGAGATCCCCCTGATCTCTGCCTCCTGAGTAGCTAGGATTACAGGTGTGAGCCACAGGCGCCCAGGGCATCCTACATTTTTCATAATTCAGGGTCTTACAGATTAGGCTGTGATGAGTTAGAACACACTGAAAGAAGTAGCTGAGAGAATTGGCTGTTCCACAGGATATCCTCTTTAACAAACAGTGCTGGATCATTGGATAGTTTGACAAAACAAAGAAACCCTCCACCTAAATCACACCTTCCACGAGAATCAACTCAGATGGATCACAGGCTTTCTCCTTTCTAGACAGATATTACAGAACTACTGTTTCACAAACAGGTAATCAGAGTATGGAGCCAAAATATCTAATAACCAATTTTTGGTGGGTGAGATGACTCATTTTTTAATGGTTTGTTATTTTTCTGGAATTTTGGAGTTTGTGATTTTTGCCAGTTTGTTTAGATTCATAATTTGTTCAGATTTCTTTTCCCATTCTAATTAAATACTCAGTTTGGACTTTTAATTTGCATTCATAATTTTGATTTTATTATTTTTTTGGTGGGTCTGGGGTTTGAACTCAGGGCTTGGTGCTTGCAAAGCAGGTGCTCTGCCGCGTGAGCCACGCCTCAGGCCATTTTGCTCTGGTTACTTTGGAGATGGCTCTCATGAACTATTTTCCCAGGCTGGCCTCGAAGTGCGATTTTCCTGATCTCTGCTTCCCGAGTAGCTGCGATTATAGGCGTAGTCACCAGCACCCAGATTGAATTTTTTTCTTAACCTGAATAAGCATCAGGACTATAAAACCTGGAGCTCCCCCTGAGTGCAGGCAAGCTACTTTAAAATTATAAGATAAAATTACAAGATAATGTCATATTTGTACCAAAAAAGTTGAAAACCTGAACAAGGTGGGTGCTTTTTCTAGGAAAAGATGAAGGATCAAAGTTGGTTGAAGTATATATACAAAACTTTCCTACAGTCATGGGGACCAGGCCCAGGCACTTTCACACTTGGGTTCTCCCAATGTGTTAACAAAAATATTCCAGAACTTTCCAGAACTTGTTAAACAACTTCCCAAATACCGAGGATTGAATTTAGGGCCTCTACTACTTCAGCCCTCCCAAATCATTTTATGACCACAAACTGAAACAAGCAGTGTTCACACTTTCAGTTGGTTTCACTCAACAAACAAATAGAAGAAACTACAAAAAAAAAAAAAAAATTACCAAATTGAATGGGGTCAGTGTAATCCCTCCATCCACCCTGGAGCCAAGGACTGGGAGGAGGACAGGAAACAGGGGTTGGAAAGGTCACATCCCATTCCCTTCCCCCACACACATGCATTCTGAGCTGCCAGTGAGAGAAGCGGAGAAACACGTCC